CCATGCATGTTTACATGCAAACATACATACACACATACATATATACCTGCATCCATGCATGCACGCATTCATCCGTACGTATATATACATGCACATGCACAAACACATACACATGTTTGTATACACACCTATACATATACACAAACATGTGCACATACACATACATATACATGGACATGTACATGTACAGGTACATCTAGATTCATATGTGCACGTACATATACGCGTACACGTACGTGTACATGTACCCATACACGTTCATGTACAAATACGTATACGTTTACATATACATATGCATACTCACATACATACACAGACATGGGCATGTACATGCACAGATACATCTCTCTCTCTCTCCCTCTCTCTCTCTCTTTGTATACATATCCTCGGATGTATCAGAGTAGGCCGCGGGCGGGCCCAGACCGGCGGCCTGGGTTGTCATGGGGGCCCCGGGCGGCCTATGGGGGCCTCGAGGGCTCCCAGGCGGCTCCAGAGCCCGCCAAGACCGGTTCAAGACCGCCTAAATTGCCCCAAGAGCGCTCCAAGACACCCCAAGATGGCGTCAACAAGGGCCAGAAGGCCCCCAAGACGCCTCAAGAGAGCTCCAAGATGCCTCCCACGATGGCCCCAGGAGGTGTAAATCACAAAATTTCGTTTGGGAGTTGTATATTTCCAGCATGTTCGCTTCTCCGGTCGTTGACAACTGCCGCTTCGCAGGCCCATTCAAGGCCCACGACGGCCTCAAGGCGGTCAAAGGGAGGCCCAAGAGGGCTCCAATAGGGTGCCACGACCAGTCGTGTGGGACTCTCTTGGGGGCGCGGTTCCCGACATGCTCCCGTCACCTCCCAGAAGCTTCCAGGACGCTCCCAAGAGGCCCCCACAGAGGCTTCCGAGAGATTTGGAGAATGTCCACCGAATTCCCCAAGAGATCCCCACGAGACATCAACAGGCTCCCTAAATGCTTGCCTCCCAGGAGTCCTTTCAGTAGGTCCCAGAAGCCTGTGGGAGGCCTCGCGTCCACGTCCTGCACGGCGTGCCCAGACAGGCTTCAAGAGGCCCCCAATTCACGATCCATCTCAGGGACCTCTTGAAGAGGCCCCTCAGAATTATGCCGCGAGGCCCCGACAGGCAACCAATACGCCCCGAAGTCACGATCCTGGCCACGTGCTGGGGGGCCCTCCTGGGATTATTGGCACCGCTTTTCGTTTTGTAATTTACAGATGATTCTGCTCCATCGTCCATCTTACATATGAGTCCATACCATTCCAACAACCAGGCCGGCATCGGCCCCTCCCGTCATCCTCCGCTCAAACATGTAATGCGCGCGCACTCGTTTATACCATATCATCAGATCAGTTTTTCAAGAATCCCTTACCAAAAAAGGGACGAAGTGCACACGCGCGCTTCGTCGTGCGCGCGTGTCGAAATCCTTTGAAATATTTCGGTGTCGTCAGGATTTCAACATCGAGTGTCCGAAACACACGTAAAAATGCATTGTTTCGCAACGCGGGCTTCCCAAAACAAGCTTGCGCGCGCGCTCATGCAAATTCTTAACAGAACCATAGGTTTTTCAAACTTGTCGTAACATGCTACCAGGCGGGCTTCGCGCGCGCATGTCGAAATCGTGCGAACGCCACTGCGAGCGTGCCGTCGCGAGAATCTTGTTGCACAATTGAGACGAAGTGCACGCGCACGCGTCGTCGCGCGCGCATGCCAAAATCAGTCAAAAGTCTTCGCTGTCGTAGCGATGTCGAAAACCGAATGTCAAAACAAAACATACAAATATATGATTTCGCACCATCGTTTTTTATATAAAAAAGCGCGCACTCTGGCGAATTCTTGAAAACCCACGGGTGTTTTAACATGTTCATGGAATTCTGCCAGTCGGGCCTCCAGCGCCGCATGCCGACATCATTCGCGCGCCCTTGCGCGCGTGCGGGGGGGGGGGGGGGGCGCGATCCGCGTCGAAGAATTCCACGCGGGCCGCTCTCGCGCGTCGGCCGCGCGCGCGTGTCGAACTCTTTCCACAACCTCCATCGCCGACGCGAGGGCGCCGCCATCGTCGTCGGCGCGATCAGCATCTGCGCCCGCGCTGGCCCCGCCTTCGTCGTTGCCAACATCGCCACCAGCATCGCTATTATGACCATCGTGTCTATTGTTGTCGATTTTGCCATGATGCTGCGCCCGCCCAATCGCCGACTCACATAGAAGTGCCCGCTCGGACGCGCCCGACGGTCAGCGCCGCCGCGGCCGCGTCGGTCGCGCCAAACCAGCTGGGCGCTGCGCGCGCGCTTGGGTTTGCGCGGCCGCAGAGATGCACCAGCCAACGCCAAGCACTCATCGCCATCGCTTCCGCATGGGTTTTGCAAACCAAATTGGGGGTGGGTGGTTGGGATGTCTTCAAGGGCATGGGATGCGTTAGCTCGCTTGTTCAAATCAATCCACATGTAATAATCGATTCTACCCCCCAGGATTGTCGGCACCTGCAATTTTCATGCGATTCTGCCCCATCGCCCATCCCACACATGAATTCATGCTATCCGAGCCAGGCCAGCATCGCCCCGCCCCCCCCCCCCCCCCCCCCCCCCCACACACACACACCCCACCAGCCTCTGCAAGAAGTGTTATGCGCGCGCACTCGCTCATCACAGATCATTAGTTTTCAAAGACTCCTTGCAACAAATGAGACGAAGTGCATGCGCGCGCGTCGTCGCGCGCGCATGCCGGAATCCTGCGAAAACCTTCGGTGTCATCAGGATTTCAAAATCGAGTGTCCAAAACACATGTAAAACATACAGTTCCGCAGCGCGGGTTTCCCCAGAAAGCTTGCGCGGGCTCGTGCGAATTCTTAAGAACACCATAGGTTTTCAACCTGTTCCTAAAATGCTACCAAACGGGCTTCGCGCGCGCATGTCGAAATCATTCGAATGCCTTTGCGCGCGTGCTGGGGTGGCGCGATCCGCGTCAAATAATACCGCGCGGGCCACTCGCGCGTCTGCCGCGCGCGCATGTCGCACTCCTTCCAAAACTTTCATCACTGACGCGAAGACGCCGTCATCGTCGTCGGCGTGATCAGCATCGGCGCCGTCACTGGCTGCCCCGTCGTCGCCGTCAGCATCATCGCCAGCATATCGTGACTATCATCATCGCGTCCACCGTTGTCGGCGTTGCCATGATACCGCGTCCACCGAAGACGCCGACTCGCATTGAAGTGCCCGCTGGGATGTGCCGAGCGGTCAGCGCCACCGCGCTCGCGTCGGTCGCGCCAAACTAGCGCGATCGCAGAGATGCACCAGCCAACGCGAAACACTCATCGCAAACGCTTCCGCATGGGTTTTGCAGACTAAGTTGCGGGTGGGTGGGTGGGATGATTGCGCGAGCAGTGGGGTTAGCAGTTCGGCATGTGAGTTCTCCTTTTCTAAAGAGAGAACGCATGGATTCTACCCCCCTGGATTACCAACACATTCCGTATTGCAATATACGTATGATTCTGTCCCATCGCCCATCCGAAATATGAATTCATACCGTCCCAGCCCAAGCGGCATATCTTGCAAAACATATGACGCGCTACCTTCTTTATCACAAATCATTAGTTTGCAAGAACCCTTTGCAACACTTCAATCAAAGTGCACGCGCGCGCGTCGTCGCGCGCGCATTCCGAAATCCTTCAGGAACTCTTGGTTTTGTAAAGATTCAAAATCGAGCGCCCCAAAAACATGAAAAACACATGGTTTCGCAACACGGATGTTCAAAACAAACTTGCGCGCTATTGCGAATTCTCAGGAAAACCATCGGTGTTTTAATTGTTACCAAATGAGCTTCGCGCGCGCGTGTCGAAATCGTTCGAACGCCCTTGCGCGCGTGCCGTCGCGAGAATCCTTCGCAACAAATGGGGCGAAGTGCGCGCGCGTGTCGTCGCGCGCGCATGCCGAAATCCGTCAAAAACGTTGTGGTTTAGTAATGAGTTCAAAACCGACTGTCCACACAACATACAAAACACACACGGTTTCGCAACATCAGTTTTCAAAAAAATACGTGCGCTCGCGCTCTTGCGCATTCGTAAGCAAATCACAGGTTTTCCAACATTCTCGGGGAATTCTGCCCAACGGGCCTCTGGCGCCGCATGTCGATACCATTCGCACGCCCTTGCGCGCCTTCGCCGCCGCCGCTGCCGCCGCCTTCGCCACCGTTCCTTCGAAAAGAGGTATGTCCCTCTTGCACGCTCCGCGCAGCGCAGTTCTTTGGGATTGTTCTGCCCAGGGCCACTTATTGTCGAGAGTGGAGCACATGTTCCCCGTTTTTTCTGCTGACTTTTTCCACCGCCAGAAATATGAGCCCCATTGGAAGGCGAATGAAGAGTGCGGATGACGGCGACCGAGCAGAGCGACGGCGAGGGCGACGGCGATCGAAAAAGGCCAGCCAGGCCAGCTGTGGCTGAGCCGGTGCATCGGCGATGCGGCGCAATTCGGAGTGCCAGTGCTTCCAGCGTCACCCGTCAGGGGCGCGGGGGCACTCGCGCATCGCGCGTCGCGGCCTGGGCCCAGTGATTCGAGCAGTGGCGAACCGTCCTTTGGTATCGTCGGACGTGTGCACTTTTTCTCGGCGGGGATGATGAAGGAGCATCCTGGATCATCCTGCGGAAAAAAACCACGCACGAAACCGAAAAAAACACAGGGAATGGACGTCCGAGCGATGGCCGGGTCTTGGTTTGCCAACAAGCCCCAAAAAGGATGTTCTCAGAACCTTTTGTGGTCTGCACGAAATGTTCTCAGAACATGCTGGCTGGGATTGTCTTGCTTGCCTGGGCACCGGCGTGATGCTCCAAGTTCTTAGACCAATGTCTTGTTCTGAAGACATGTCGTGGTAGGCCTATAGGAATGCTGCGAGGGCCGGTCCCTGCTCAAGTGATGCCCAGCGTGCCCTTTTCGGGTTTTGCGGCACGAGCCGAGCTGCTTCGCCGACGCCTCGGCGAGGCGGTGCGATCCATCGGTGGCCTCCAGGTGCCGCCGGCTGCGGCGGCGCCAGCTGCGGCGGCGGCGGCGGCCGCCCCGCCTCCGCCGCCGCCGCCGCCGCAGCCGCCTCTGCCCGCTGGGGGCGCGCCGGAGGACTCGGGCCTCGAACGCGGGGCCGAGGCCTCATGTCTTGAGGAACAGCGTGAGGTGAAGGGGGTGGGCTGGCTGGTTTGAGGAGGAAACAGGTACGGTAGGTTTGCGTCGTGTCGACCGGCGGCGACCCCGCCGCCGACATTCAACGTTGAACGCCGACGGCGGCCCAGAATCGGTCGATGTTGAACGATCGGACGTTGCGGTGACGGCCGATCGTTCAAGGTTGAACGATCCAGCGGGTTTGATAGGGCGACGAGATCTATGCATATCCACTGCTCCTGGCCAGGCCCATCCTGGGCCCAGGAGCTGTGTATATATGCCTCCCTGGCCAGGCCAGGAGGGCGTATACACCGCTCCTGGGCCCAGGATGGGCCTGGCCAGGAGCAGTGGATACGCATAGATCTCGTCGCCCTATTTGAGGAGGAAACAGGTACCCATGCCGTTGCCCCTCCGCCCGTTTTACCCGTTGTCGGCTTCCTGGGAGGCCCTCGTCGCCATCGCTGGATTCGCCTCGAAACCCTATTCAGAACGCACCCCGGGAGAGGTCCGGGGAGCAGCGATATTGGTACTTTCTGGTCTCCCCAGCTCGCGGGGGGGGGGGCTGGGGGGACGCATCGACCCCCAATGGCCAATGGATCGCCGATAGGGGCCCGATTGTCCACCACTCCCAGGACAGCGATGTGTCGCATACTGCAGGTCGATATTTTCACTCTCTGTCCCCACCTGACGCTCGCCCTCACCTCACCGGTGAGGGCCCCGAGGCTGCCAAGACGGCCCCTCATAATCCATCTGGGCCCTCCACGGGCCCCAGGGCTTGTCCAACATCGACTCGGGGGGGGGGGCGGCGGGGGCGGCAGCCTGGAGCCGGACCGGGCGACGGAGGAGGAGGAAGGAGGAGGAGGAGGAGGAGGAGGAGGAGGAGGAGGAGGAGGAGGAGGAGGGAGGAGGAGGAGGATTGAGGAGGGAGGAGGGAGGAGGGAGGAGGGGGAGGGGGGGGGGGAGGGGGGAGAAGCTCTCAGAGGCACCCCGCCCTCTCCACGAGGAACGCCCCCCCCCTCGCGCGCCCCTTCCGGGCAGGGAGCTTCCGAGAAAGCGGGGCTCGAGGTGCCCAGGTCCACCCCCGGGGGCGCGGAGGGAATCGCGCTTAGCCATGTAGGCGGAGGGGATAAGGCTTCTTAGAAGGCGCGGGCCTTGTCTATATAGTATACAGGTGGATGGCTGGCGCCTTCTGAGAAGCAGCCTCTTGCGAAGGGCTCCAGGCCTCCTAGATGGGGTCGGAGCAGATGGGGTCGGAGGATCGCGCCGCATCGCCGATGCACCGGCGATGTATCGGCGATGCGGTTCGATGTGGGGCCGAATTTGCTCCACGCCGAAGTCGCGTGCGAGGATCGTCGAGCATTTTGCCTCATCTTGCGGAAAAATGCGCGCACGAATTCGAAACATGCACGGGGAATGGACGTCCGAGCGATGGCGAGATGGGGGAGGGGGAAAGCCTTCTTAGAGAAGCACCCTGCTTCTCAGAAGGCGCGGGCCTTGCCTATTATAGGCAAGGCCCGCGCTATGCCAGATTGCTTCTCAAATGGTATATATATACATATGTATATATATATATAATAAAATATATATAATGTTGGGGCCGTTTACCAGATTGCCAGATTGGCGCCAGATTGGCTCTCGCCAGATTAGATCAGATCGACTCCCTCGCCAGATTGCCAGATTGGACTCGCCAGATTGGCGCCAGATTGGCTTCGACTACCCAGCTATAGACGTAGGGCCGACGCCTTCTAAGAAGCAGCCTCCTCCTGAGAAGCCTTCCCCCCTCCCTCTGCCCCCCTGTGAGCGCCGACAGAAAACGGGGTCGTCTTCACCGACGTCCGCGCAAGCTGCCCGCGCAAGGTCGCGCGTGAGAGCGCCCTCGCTTCCAACGCAGCGTGCCACGCTGGCGGCCCGCGTAAGCCGCGGCGGAAGGTCGCTGCGTCATCGTGCGTGAGGCCCCTTTCTGTTCGTCGCCCACCTCCCCCCTCTCGAGGAGCAATATATTCCGACGAAGGCATCTATACACCACCACCGTGCCAGGCCAGGGCCATTCTGGGCCCCAGGATGGTGTATAGACCCTCTTGGCCTCGGCCAGGAGGGCGTATACACTATCCTGGGGCCCAGGATGGCCCTGCCTTGGCACGGTGGTGGTGTATAGATGCCTTCTGCGAACAACACACATTGCATTCCCCCGCCCCCCAATGCCCCTCGTGCACGCCGCCGAGACTCGCGCTGCGCGCGCCGCGGTCTGTGACAGAGCGGCCGCCCGTCTCCGAGGGGGCGGCGCGGCGGCGCGGAGATGGCCGCGGGGCGCGACACTCGCGAGGTTGAGAGGCTCGGGGACCGAGGCCCCTCGGCCGCTTGGCATCGCTCGGACGTGTGCATTTTTCCTTCGTCGAGGACCGTCGAGGAGCATCCTTGATCATGTGGCGAAAAAACCACGCACGAAACCGAAAAAAACACAGGGAATGGACGTCCGAGCGATGGCAGGGCCGGGGGCAGCGCCAGGGGGGCTCGGGCTCGGGAGGAGAAGCCTCGGGCCCCAGCCGCCCACGCCCTCGCCGACCTCGGAGGGCAGAAAGCGGATCTCTCGGATCCGCGCCGAGGTCCCCCTGGCGGCGCCTCCGCCGCCGCCCCTGGCGCGCTCCGAGCGCCAGGGAAGGGGAGTCCAGCGCGGCTCCAAGAAATCCGCGCGGAGAGCCAAAAGTTTATGTCTGTGCCGTTTCTTCTTCTTCTTCTTCTTCTTCTTTTTGTTGCTTCTTCTTCTTCTTCTTCTTCTTCTTCTTCTACGATCGGGGTCTGGTGTGCCCCAACCTGCCCAGGAACATGGGGGATCCCCATCGGGGATCTGTCGCCAGTCTATCGGCGATGTATCGTCGATTGCAGGCCGCTGCTCCCCCCCTGAGCCACTCTCCCTTCGGCTCCCCTCAGTCAGGCAGGAGAACGAAGCGCTCCAGAGCGTTCCAGATTCCAGAACGCAGTTGGAGGGTTCCGAAGCGCTCTGGAACGTCCGCGGCGCCCGGCGTCCTTCAGGCCCGCTTGCTCTCAGAGATTCGGGCCGGGCGAAAGGGGGGGATTGGGAAAGAGGGGGGGGGGAAATTTGCTGCATGCAGCTGGTTTCGGCCTCACCGAGGGGCCCATTCCTCGATACATGGGCGCCTCCGGCGGCGGGAGGCGCCGGGAAAATCAGCTACGTGAGCTGATTCTCAACCCCCCCCTTTGCTATCCTGCTATCCCCCCCTTTCGCCCGACCCGAGAGATCCCCGCGGTCTAATCCTCATCCTGCCTTCGCCTTGCAGTGGAGACCCATGCCAAGAAACACCCTGCTTGCCTCCAGGGTGCCCAGGGTTGCTTGGGTTTCGATGGTTTCGCGATGAAAGGCGCGACGTTCCCACGTCAAAGCTCCATGGACGTTCTGGGGTCTGAGAGCTGGGTTTCTTATGGGAGGTTTCTTGTGGAAGGTTTCTTGTGAACTGGTCTCCACTGTAGGGTCCAGCCGCTGGCCCTAGGTCACCCGCAGGGGCGCGCGAGGGGCGGTCTGGATCGACGATGTGTCGACGATACATGGGCGATACATCGACCGTTCGAGGTCGATGCATCTCCCCAATGTCAGCGGCGTGCAAGAAGTGGGCAGGGGGAGGGGGGAAGCCTTCTTAGAAGGAGGCTGATGCTCAGAAGGCGCGGGTCTATCTGCAGATGTAGGGCTGGCGCCTTCTGAGAAGCAGCCTCCTTTTGAGAAGCATTTCCCCCCTTCCCCCCTCCCCCTACCCCCTTGTTCGCGCCGCCAACTATGCCTATCCCCCCCTAGCGTTGGCCCTTCTCAGGAGGCGCTGCTAGGCCCCAGGTGCGTTATGATGGAGGGCGGGGAGCTCGCGGCCTGCGGCGAGGTGGTCGAGCGGCTGCTCGGCGATCAGGTCTGACCTGAGCGCGGAGGGGGACCTCAGTATTATGTAAACGACCCCCATCCCCCTCCTTATCCAGATCCCCATCATCTCACCACCCCCCGATCCCCCTATCCCCATCCCCATCCCCATCCAGACCCCTTATCCAGACCCCCACCCATGAGGATAGGGGTCGGTTACGGGTAGAGGGGGAGGCTGGGAGGCTTTCTTGAGGCACCCGTGCTCCTTGGAAGGCGCGGGCCTTGTCTGTAGAGGGAACGGCCGGCGCCTTCTAAGAAGCGGCCTCCTCCTACGAAGCTTTCCCCCTTCCCCCCTTCCCCCTCCTATATCATCCTCCTCCTCCTCCTCCGCCTCATCCTCCTATATCCTTCTCCTATATCATCCTCCTCTCCTCCTCATCCTCCTCCTCCTCCTCTTCCTCCTCCTCCTCCTCCTCCTCCTCCCTTCGCCTCCTCCTCCTCCTCCTCCTCCTCCGCCCCCAGTCCTCCTTCTCCTCGCCTCCTCCTCCTCCTCTTCCTCCTCCTCCTCCTCCTCCCTTCGCCTCCTCCTCCTCCTCCTCCTCCTCCTCCTCCTCCCTCCTCCTCCTCCTAAGCCCATCGGGCCTCTGCTGGGAGGGGGCCAGATCAGGGTCGCGTCGGGTGGTCGATCGATCCCTCGCGCGATCGCCAGCGATCAGGCCGCCCAGGAGGTCGGGCTCACGCGAGCCGATCGGCGCCCCTGGGGGGGTGAGGCATCCCTTGCCTCGCGGGCCTCCCCCCTTGGGCCCGATACGCGGCCGCGCGCTGCTCCTGGCGCCGCCGCTGCCGCCGCGCCGCAGCCGGCGCCTCGCGGCTGGAGACGGCGGCCAAGGAGCCAGCTTGGCATCGCCGAGACCGCCAGCGACGGTCCTCGGCGCGCGTGCTGAAGGCAGCCTGCCTGCTGGCGCCGCCGGCCGTGGCTCTATGTGGTGTGCGCCCCCGACGGAGGTGAGGCGCCCCGCGGCGAGCAAAAGCCAGCGGCGCGCATGGAGGAGGCTGCTCCTGGCGACCAGCCGCCAGGCCGCCCTGGACCACGGGCTGGTCGAGCTGGATTTCGGCGCCTGGCCAGCCACGCCCTTCGACTACGACTTCGTCGAGGGCTGGCTGCAGGAACCCGCGCGCGAGAAGTGCGAGAAGTGGGAGGCGACGGTGGTGCCCAACACGTTCAGCTACAGCGCTGAGACCTGCCCCGCAAGCCTCGAGCCAGGGACCAGCGACTACGCGACGTGGGCGGCGAAGATGGGGCCCGACACGATCAGCTACAGCACTGGAACCATGTCATGCGAGAAGGGGGAGGTGAAGTTGGAGCCCACCGTAACCAGCCGCAGAGACACGGCGGGATGCGAGAAGCTGGAGGCGAAGACGAAGGTCGAGCCCAACGTGACCAGCTACAGTGCAGAGAGCCCATGGGCGGAGAGGGAGGCGAAGACAGAGCCGAACTTGATCAACTACAGTGTCGAGGCGCGCGAGAAGGAGCGAGAGACGTACGAGCGAGACGGGCGAGCAGTGGCTGCTAAGTTGGCGAAGTTGGAGCCCAATATCGTTTGCTACTCCTCGTCGAGCCTCGCCGCCACGGCTGGATCAGAGAAAACGGTTTGCGAGCAGTGCGTGAAAACTGTTTGCGAGAAGTGTGAGAGCGAGCAGAGCGAGAAGGAGGAGGCGAAGATAGAGCCCGACATCACCCGCTACAGTGCTTGGATCAGGGCATGCGAGAGGCGGAAAGCGAAGCTGGAGCCCGACATCATCGTTGGCCACAGTACTGAAAACAGCGCATGCGAGAAGAGAGGGGCGAATACAGCCCGACACCATCAGCTGCAGCGCTGGGATCAGGGCTTGCGAAAAGGGGGAGGCGAAACTGGAGCCCGACCTCAGCATTGAGGGGCCTCCAAACGAGTCTTCGAATTTCTTTCCGACCGACCTGGTTTCTGGAGAGCCGAAGAGCGACCCCTTCGAGTCCCAGGCCGACCTCGAGCTGGAGGCAATAGTGAGCGCACCTGAGAAGGCGGACGGGACGTCCTCTCAAGAGCCCTCCCATCCAGGTGCGCAGACAGCCGCGAACATCGTCGACGCGCGCGCCTGCGAGAAGGGGAGCGCGAAGCTGGGCAGCTACTGCGTCAGCAGGGCCATGTGGCACGCACGCTCCCAAATCGCCAGCACATGGCTAGAAGGCGGCGAAGCGATCGAGCCCAACGTCATCAGCTACAGTGTTGGAATCCAACGGGAAGCGGAGGACATACATGGAGTGCGGGGGCCCTTTCCGAGGGTTGACCAGAAAAGGGTGGAGAAACGATATCAAAGATATCTCCACGGTGAGGAAAGCGGCAAGTTCACGATCACAGGGTCGAACGGGAGGCCCACGTGGCCCCTCAGAGCAGATTTCGACAACATGCTGCTCCTGAGGGCCACAAGGGCGAAGGCTTCGATCAAAGGCATCAGGATACGCAGAGTGTAATTCTTTACGCTTCGCGCATCCCCACCAGCCCATCTCACAGCAGCACTTCTCGCGAATCATGTCGACAGTTGTGTTTTTTTTTCAGGCGTGTGTCCGCTGGGCTCCGTATTTCTCCCCTGTCCCTCCTTCCTCCCGCCCCCTTGTGAATCCTCCTTGTGGGGGGAGCGGGAGAAGGGCGAGGCGGAGGAGGAGGGAGAGAAAGCGCTCCTCGTGATTTGAGTCGTTTGGGGTTTCTCGTCCTGGTGTGAGTCGTTCGGGCCCTTCTTCCTGGTGTGAGTCGTTCGGGCTCTTCGTGGTGTGAGTCGTTCGGGCTCTTCGTCCTGGTGTGAGTCGTTCGGGCTTCTCGTGGTGTGAGTTGTTCGGGCCCCTCATCCTGGTGTGAGTCGTTCGGGCCCCTCCTCCTGGTGTGACTCGTTCGGGCTCCTCGTGGTGTGAGTCGTTGGAGGCCCGCGTCGTGGTGTGAGTCGTTCGGGCTCCTCGTGGTGTGAGTCGGTCGGGCGCCTCGTCCTGGTGTGAGTCGTTCGGGCCCCTCCTTGTGGTGTGAGTCGTTCGGGCTCTTCGTGGTGTGAGTCGTTCGGGCCCCTCGTCCTGGTGTGAGTCGTTCGGGCTCCTCTTGGGGGCCTCTTGGGGGCCTCTTGGGGGCCTCCTGGGGCCCCTTGGGGGCCTCTTGGGGAGCTTTTGGCGGCCTCTTGGGAGCCTCTTGGGGGCTCCGGGGGCCTCGTGGGGGCCTCTGGGGAGCCTGTTGGGAGCTTCTGGGGGCCTCTTGGGGGCCTCTTGGGTGCCTCTTGGAGGCCTCTTGGGAGCCTCCTGAGGGCATCTTGGGGCTTCCTGGGGGTGCTCTTGCGACCTCCTCAGAAGCGCAAATGAGCGCTACCCCCTGAGAAAGAGAAAATGAGCCCAACACCTTCGTAAAATCAATGATTTTGAGAAGAAGGAAGAGGAACGCGGCCCTCTCAGAAGGCCAAAATGAGGCCGAAACCGTAGTAAAATCAATGGTTTTGGTTTCGCAGCAGAGGAGAGGGTTTTTTTGGCATCCCCCCGTCGGGGCCAGAATCCTCGTGAGGGTCGTCGTTTTTTGGCCCTCCCAGGAGTCGAAAAAAGACCCCTCCAACCACCCGCGGCCCGCCCTCTCCAGGCCCAGGGGGAGGGGGTAGGGGGAGAGGTAAACCCCTCCCCGAAGGGGAAGAAGGGGGGTTGGGGGGTTGAGGACAGAGAGAGCTCTCTAAACCACTCACGCCCAAAGGGCTGGTGGGATTGCGCTGCGTGAGAGAGGAGTTTACATGCTGTATGAGTGAATTGCAGCGTGGTTGTTCTGTGCTGCGCTGGGGGCCCCAAGCGTTTCTGGGCTCCCGAAGCGGCACCCGCTTAGGCGAAACTCGACTGCGTCGTCGCCGAATTCTCCCGAATTCTCTCCTCCTCCTCCTCCTCCTCCTCTCCTCTCTCCCTCCTCCTCCTCCTCCTCATCCTCTCCTCTCCTATTCCTCATCTCCTCCTCCCCCTCCTCCTCCTCCTCTCATCCTCCTCCTCCTCCTCCCCTCCTCCTCTCCTCCTCCTCTCCCCTCCCTCCTCCTCCTCCCTCCCTCCTCCTCACCCTCCTCCTTCTCCTCCTCTCTCCTCTTCTCCTCCTCCTCCTCCTGCTCCTCCTCCTGCTCCTCCTCCTCTTCCTGCTCCTCCTCCTCCTCCTCCTCCTCGTCCTCTTCCCCCCTGGTGCGCGCCGCCCAGTGCATTCGCTTTGCGATCGATCGCCCTGCTCCAAAGGTCGTGGCCCTGAGCGTGGAGGGGGACCTGAGCAGAGCCGGGCGGGTGTCCGTGCTGGCGGTGAGCTGCAGGCGCGCCTGGCCCCAGCTCGACTGCGGTGCTCTGGGTCTCCTCCTCCTCCTCCTCCTCCTCCTCCTCCTCCTCCTCCTCCACCCTACCTACTACTACTACTACTACTACTACTACTACTACTACTACTACTTATACTTACTACTACTACTACTACTTACTACACTACTACTACTACTCTACTACTACTACTACTACTACTACCCCTACCACTACCCACTACCACTACCACTACCCACTACCACTACTACTACTACTACTACTACTATACTACTACTACTACTACTACTACTACTACTACTACGCTACTACTGCCACTGCTACTGCTACTGCTACTGCTTTCTGCTGCTTCTATTACTACTACTACGACTACTACTACTACTACTACACTACTACTACTACTACTACTACTACTACTACTACTACTACTACTACTACTACTACCGCTACTACCACTACTACTACTACTACTACTACTACTACTACTACTACTACTACTGATACTACTACTGACTGGTACTACTACTACTACTACTACTACTACTACTACTACTACTACTACTTCTACTACTTCTACTACTACTACTACTACTACTACTACTACTACTACTACTACGACTACTACTACTACTACTACTACTACTACTACTACTACTAGGGCTGACCTCCTTCTGTTTGCCCAATTAATCTGGTGTAAGGAGTGTAAGGAGTGTGGTGAGGATTCTGTGCCGCGGACGCGCCGTGCGCCTTTCGTGTATGTTCCGTATGTGTTGCGCATGTGTTTCGTAGATGTTCCGTATCTGTTTCGCAGCTGTTTCGTACATGTTTTGTATATGTTTCGTATCTGTTTCGTGTATGTTTCGTATCTGTTTCGTATATGTTTCGTATCGGTTTCGTTTATGTTCCGCATATGTTTCGCAACTGTTTCGTATGTGGATCGTATATGGTTTGTATGTGTTTCGTATGTGTTTCGCATATGTTTCGTATATGTTTCGTATATGTTTCGTTTATGTCTCGTATATGGTATCTGTATCGTAAATGTTTCGTAGATATTTCGTATATGTTTCGCGTCTGCCTCGTTTATGTTTCGTACATGTTTCGTAGATGTTTCGTTTATGTTTCGCATATGTTCCGTCTATGTTGCGTATATGATTCGTAGACGTTTCGTAGATGTGTCGTAATGTTTCGTAATTGTTGCATAGATGTTTCGTATATGTTTAGTATATGTTTCGTATATGTTTCGTATATGTTTCGTATCTGCTTCGTATAGGTTTCGTATATGTTGCGTAGATGTGTCGCACATGTTTCGTATCTGTGTCGTATTTGTTTCGCATATGTTTCGTGTATGTGCCGTATATGTTTCGTCTACGCTTCGCATATGTTTCGTGTATGTATCGTGTATATTACGCAAATTGTTGGTATACGTGTCGTATATGTGTCGCATGTGTTTCGTATATGTTGCGTATATGTTGTGTATATGTTGCGTATGTTGCGTAGATTTTTCGTACACGTGTCGTAAATGTTTCGTATGTGTTTCGATTAGGTTTCGTATATGTGTCGTAGGTGTTTCGTAGATGTTTCGTATGTGTTTCGTTTATGTGTCGTTTATGTTTCGTGTATGTTTCGTAAATGTGTCGCATATGTTTCGCATATGTTTCGTACACCTTTTCGTATATGCTTCGTATACTTTTCGTGTATGGTTCGTAGATGTATGTCTTGTATATGTATCGTAAATGGTTCGTATAGTTTCGTCGGTGTTTCGTATCTGTTTGGTATACGCTTCTCATATGCTTCGTACAGGGAGGCTGGCAACATATGAGGCGGCCGGGCCCGGTTGTGTTTGTTTTTTTTGCCCCCCGGTTCTGTTTTTTTTTTGGGCGGCGAGGGAAATCTTGAAAAGGGGTACTGTAATCCGTTTGCGTTTCCAGCCGCTTGTTTTTTTTTTAGGGCCGCGCGCGCCCCCCAAATGGCGCGGTGAGATCTTTGTGTTTCCGCCCGCTTGTGTTAATTTCATTTCGGCCAGCACTTTTCGATTGTCGTTTGCGGCTCCGCTGGTCGGTCCATTGATATCTGGCTTCTTAGCTCCCCCCCGCTTCCTGCGCCACTGCAAAGGTCTTTTTATTTGTTTGTGGGTGGTGGGCCAGCCTCTGTGTTTTTTGTTAGTGGCTTCGGCGTGTCGCAACAAGGCTACGCCACTATATTTGTGTTTTTGCTTGCTGGTCTGCCCGTTTTTTTGTTTATCGCCCCCATTCCCCCTCCCAGGCCACCGCTGACATCTTTGTGTTATTCGCTGCGGGCCAGCCTTTGTGTTTGTTGTTTTTGGCCCAAGCGATGCACCCTAAAGCTACGTCAAAATATTTATGTTTTTTGTTGGTCGGCCTGTCGGTTCCCTTTTTTTGGCTCGCCCCCCCCCCCCTCCCAGGCCACCGCCGACATCTTTGTACTATTCCCAACCATCCTGTGTTGGGTCCTCATTTTGAAAGACACCGCGCCCCGCGTCTCCTTCCTTCTTTCTCCACCTCCCCCTCCTCCCTCCTCCCATCACTTCCCCCCACCCACCGCATGCCCATTTCGGCACACCCCTCACACGGTTCGTGTCCCCATAGGGAGCTCCACCCAAGGCCCCAGTGGCAAAGTTCGCATGCGGGGTCTCGCCCACCGCGCGTCCATTTCGGCACACCCCTCACACGGTTCGTGGCCCCATAGGGAGCTCCACCCAGGGCCCCAGTGGCAAAGTTCGCATGCGGGGTCTCGCCCACCGCGCGTCCATTTCGGCACACCCCTCACATGGTTCGTGGCCCCATAGGAGTTCCACCCACGGCCCCAGTGGCAAAGTTCGCATGCGGGGTCTCGCCCACCGCGCGTCCATGTCGGCACACCCCTCACACGGTTCGTGGCCCCATAGGGGGCTCCACCCAAGGCCCCAGTGGCACGGTTCGCATGCGGAGTCTCGCCCACCGCGCGTCCATTTCGGCACACCCCTCACACGGTTGGTGGCCCCATAGGGAGCTCCACCCACGGCCCCAGTGGCACAGTTCGCATGCGGGGTCTCGCCCACCGCGCGTCCATTTCGGCACACCCCTGACACAGTTCGTGGTCCATTAGGGAGCTCCACCCAAGGCCCCAGTGGCAAAGTTCGCATGCGTGGTCTCGCCCACCGCGCGTCCATTTCGGCACACCCCTCAAACGGTTCGTGGCCCCACAGGGAGCTCCACCCAAGGCCCCAGTGGCAAAGTTCGCATGCGGGGTCTCGCCCACTGCGCGTCCATTTCGGCACACCCCTCACATGGTTCGTGGCCCCAGAGGGAGCTCCACCCACGGCCCCAGTGGCACAGTTCGCATGCGGGGTCTCGCCCACCACGCGTCCATTTCGGCACACCCCTCACACGGTTCGTGGCCCCAGAGGCAGGTCCACCCAAGGCCTCAGTGGCACAATTCGCATGCGGGGTCTCGCCCACCGCGCGTCCATTTCGGCACACCCCTCACACGGTTCGTGGCCCCATATGGAGCTCCACCCAAGGCCCCAGTGGCACGGTTCGCATGCGGGGTCTCGCCCACCGCGCGTCCATTTCAGCACACCCCTCACACGATTCGTGGCCCCATAGGGAGCTCCACCCATGGCCCCAGTGGCAAAGTTCGCATGCGGGGTCTCGCCCACCGCGCGTCCATTTCGGCACACCCCTCACACGGTGCGTGGCCCCAGAGGGAGCTCCACCCAAGGCCCCAGTGGCACAGTTCGCATGCGGGGTCTCGCCCACCGCGCGTCCATTCCGGCACACCCCTCACACGTTCGTGGCCCCATAGGGAGCGTAAGACCCGGGTTTGCCAGGATTCGGGTTGCCATCGTTTTTTGACGACCGCGTTTCGGATTTTGACGAGGAGGAGGTTCGTGGGATAGCTGCAGCGGGAGCTCGCGTCAAATTTCAGCTCGCGTCATTTTTATGATGGCCCCGTCGGGCCAACCCGAGTCTCCCGTACCCGAGTCTTACGTCTCCCCGACAGGGTGTTCTGAGGATCGAGCATGAGGGAGGATCGAGGATCGCACAGGTTTGGCGCGTCTCTGGGCGTTTGTGCACTTCCGTGGCCCTCCTCCGTCCCTCTTTCCTCCCTCCTCCTCCCTCCCCCCTTCTCTTCCCTCTCCTCCTCCTCCTCGTCCTCCTCCTCCTCCTCCTCGTCCTCCCTCCTTCTCCTCCTCCTTTTCCTCCTCCTCCTCCTCCTCCGTCCTCTTCAGCGCTCGAGGTTGAAAACGTTTGGTCACATCCTCCTCCTCCTCCTCCTCCTCCTCCTCTGCCGCCTCCTCCTCCTCCTATCTCCCAGCCCTCCTCCCTCCCTCCTCTCTCCCACCCCTCCTCCCAGCGTTCGTTTTCGCGTGTCCGTAAGCGTCCGTTTTCCTCGTGTCCTCGAGCGTCCGTTGTCCTCGTGTCCTTGAGCGCTCGTTTCCTCGTGTCCCTAAGCGTCCGTTTTCTTCGTGTCCTTAAGCGTCCGTTTTCTTCGTGTCCTTAAGCGTCCGTTTTCTTCGTGTCCTTAAGCGTCCGTTTTCTTCGTGTCTTTAAGAGCGTGAGAATTTTTACGGATTGCAAGCCTTGGATCATAATGGATGCGATGAAGAGGGGGAGGAGGAGGAGGAGGAGGAGGAGGAGGAGGAGGATGAGGAGGAGGACGAGGACGAGGACGAGGACGAGGAGGGAGGAGGGAGGAGGAGGGGGAGAACCGAATGAATCCCCTGAGGACGAGGACGAGGAGGGGGGGACACCGAGCGACTCCCCTGAGGATGAGGGGGAGGAGGAGGAGGAGGAGGAGGAGGAGGAGGAGGAGGAGGAGGAGGAGCCACGCCTTTCACACTCATCACATATACAATATTGAATACACGCCTGCTCGTTCACGTTCATATATACAAAACATGGTACATGTTCAGTTCGTTATGCGAATCTCCGCGGCCTTGTCTCCCAGGATTTCCCCTGAGCTTCCATATGGCCCCAGTGGTTTTCAAACCATATCCTGGATCG